AGATGTTTTACGATTTCAAATAAAAAAAATCATTCAACAGCACAAAAAACGTTACTTTAGTGTTGGAGATCATTAAGTAAGCACCTAATTTTTCAGGTAAATTACAATTCAGGTATTTTACAACTTTTAGACAGACATTTAAAGTTCTATTATATGAATTGAACGCGCTCGATGATTATAATTTACTTCAAACAAGTGACCATGTGATACTGAATTCAAATTATGAAAATTCTACTTTGTCTAATCTACTATGATTTTTAGTATTATAGTGACAAAAGAATATACATTTAACAAATTTTGTGATTTATTTCAATCGCTCTTCAATGATATTAAAACATTATTGGCTATATTACAACGAGTTATTGGTCTTTGAAAATTATCATTCCATAAAGATGTTTTGGGACAAAGGAGATTCGGGTTACGATGAAGAAAAAAAAACCCTGCAATAAGATATGTTTTATTGTTGTTTAAAATGGACATTTTAAAATTTGGAGTTTCCTGTTATAAAATAATTAAATGTATGTCTATAAGAATAAAAATATCAACAAAGAATCTAATTAATTAATTAATCACATCCTAATTAAAAAAATATACTTATACGTATATATTTCTTTTTATATTCTAAAACTATATAATTATTGTAAATTAAAAACAAAATATAACCTTATATATTGGTAAAATTTGAAAAATAAGACATTGTATTCTGTAGATCATTATAAAATGTTATGTATATAATCAAGGCTCATAACTTATAGCTCTAAAAAAAGTAGTAATAAGCGCTATAATATGCTCTTAAAAATATTTATATAAGCGCTTAAATATGCACTAAAAATACATAAAAAAATGTACAAAAAAAATATATCATTTAAAAAACACAATTTTCATTTATTATTAAAAAAACAATTTTCGCTTATTCAAAAAACATATCATATATAAAAAAAATGTAAGCTCTTATTATTAAAATTCCTATCACGTCGCTATATGATACAAATAAATATATAATTTAAATCTAAAGAAGAAGAATTAGTTAATTAACATGAATTAATTACAAATATAAAAATGAAAACTACTATAATTACTTTTTATCATTAAGAAAAAATGTTTTAAATACTAAGAAACTGAAAAAGACTTAAAAAAGCAAAATAGCAAATAATAAATTTCTAAATATGCAAGAATAAGTCTACAAAATAGAAAAAAAGCAAAATAGCACTTTTACTTTGAAATATACAAAAATATGGAACATTAAATTTCATATTTAGCTTCTTAGTTACCTAAAACAAATGTATAACTCACTTAGGTATTTCTAGGACCTCTCAAAAAAATCAAAAAAATATGTAAATGCTATAAGTTATGACACCTGATTATAATATATGTCAATTTCAATTATTTAATACTTCTTAGTTAATAAAACACAAATACCTAAGTAAAAACCTGCAATATATTAAAATAATGCAAATATTTATAAAACAAAAATATGTGCTTTCAATTCTGGTCAAACCAATATACAATATTATTTTATATTTTCTCATAAAATATATATATATATGTTTTAACATATGTTATTAAAAAAAACTTTCAAATAATGATAAAAAATTGATTAATTATCGATTAGATTCAAATATACCAAATATATTAGGGTATCAGATAGAATTAACGTTTGTGTCATACAGCCACACGTGTTATTGAAATATTAAACCTATGCAGAGACGCATTTTAGGGGGGCATTGGCTACAACTGCACTAAGTGCAAGTTTTTTTGGGGCATCAAAATTTTGTGGTCAGAAATTTGCTCACTTGTGAATTATTAGACTTTTGAAATTATTATTTTTTTTGTTTTTAATAACAGTATCATAAATTAATGTTGATGTATTTAATTTATTAATACATATCATTAATATATTTATAACAATATAGCTATCAGAGATCTAGAATATTATTAATATACCTAATATCAGTTCAAATTTGTTGTGATAATGTCAATAAACATAAATTATTTATAATAATACGGCGTATTATGTTATCACGTGCGGCGTGCGGTGGAGTGCCTATTACACAAAAAAAGCATTGATTTTAGAATATCTATAAGGTTCATGAAAATATGCTTTTATCGGGTATGAATCTGAAAACTATTTAAAAATTATTTATTTTAATGTGGGATATGTAACTTAAGATTTAATAGATGTATTCAAGTCCTCGTCATCTGTCTTGCTTAAACTGGCTTCCTGAAAAACACCTTTATAGTAATCTTATTTATTAGTATTTAGTTGGTACATACTTCTCGAATCCATAGTGCACACTTTCAGTCAGTGGCGCCGAATACGTACTTTTATGGGGCAGTTCGCTCCTTCATTTCACTATGGTGGTGAATGTCTGGTATTTGGGTGGGTGTGGGATGGGATGGGTGGATAAATTTACACTCAAGTTAGTAAATCTTAAGAATGTACAAATTAAATGACAGTCGATCTGTAGATGATAGAATACTATGATGCGATAGAGCAATTCGCCTATCAATGCATGTTTTTATACCATAAATGTATAAGGACATACATTGACATTTATATCTATTTCGCACACATGATGAATATAAATGCCTCTCGGTTCTCAGTGTATAAATGTAATTATACAGTATGCAAATACATCTTTTAAACATTTTAAGATAGTTACTTAAATTACCAATAGCCCCATGAAACAATTTTGAAACATGTTTTTTTAAATTACAGTTGTTTAAAAATGAAATTAAAGTGTTTTTTGTTTTACATTTCTTTAATTTTTATAATTTAATATTTGAATAATTAAAGCTATATTTATATACGTTTCAAATTGATATTAAGTGTTTTTTTCTAAAACCACTATTAAGTAGGTAAGCAATAAGATAAATAGGTAATAATTAACACCTAATTTATAATTATCATTTTCAGTCTGTATGATTATTGATTTATGATAAAATATGGGGTATGGCCGTTTTCGACCAAAATCGTATCTCTCCCTTTTTGGTCGATTCACTTCTCGACCAAATTTAAAATAGGCCGATTCCCTTTTCGACCAAAACAAAAATGTATATTAAAAATCTAAAATAATAAAATAATGATGCATCGGGGTTCACTAAAAAATAGGGGCTGATGTACAGTGATGTAGTGCTAAAAATATAAGTGGGTATACGCCAAATTCTGTCAAAAATAAAATCTCTACAGTAAAAATATGATGTGGGGGCTTTGCCCCCACACCCCCCTAAGATTTCTTAAAAATATAATTTCTTAATCATCAATTATGAACTATACAATATTATTTATTTTTAATGTAATATAACTCAGTGCTCTATTATCATTTAGTTTAAATGTTGTGCTTGATAAAATGTTACAGCCATGTCACACAGATTACAATTTACATTTTCATTTTTATTTATAACAACTATAAATTATAAAATATTGCGTAATAATTGCACTTATTACAAAATAATTTTCAAGTGATACTTAATACATGACGAATAAGATTAACGAAGATCATATAATACCATTCACATGAAACACCAGTGTAAAATTGTAAATTGACAAATGTTAATATATTTTTAAAATAAATAAAGAAACTAAAGATTAGTTATACGCATATACATGACCCTAAACCCACGGACTTGTGTTTTTTTTTATTGGGTACACGCATATTTTGAAAAAATAGAAGTGGGTACACGTCGTGTACCCCCGTGTACCCTCCACCACTGTTGATGTATATACACGATTGTAACTACGCAAAATATAATTAAAAGCAATGGGATCGCTGCACCTCGCTGTAAGAAATCTTTTTCAACCCTCTTTGTATAATGCTTGGGAATAGAAAATAAAGAAACACAAAAATCAAGTACTACGTGGTTCGTGACACCTATATACCGGCTGATACCGATTGACTGTTCAAAAACATTTAACAATACAATTAAATCGGTCTCTACGCGTGATTGTAATGTGCAACCGCTATATATGTTTATGACATGGTCGTGGTAGTTCGGCGTATCTCTTTGTAACCCGAAACGCGTTCGTAACTCGATCATCGAACAGGTACACAATACATATTATTATCATTATTATATTAAGCTGCGAACGCATAATATCGACGTAGCGGCTGGTGTACAACATAAATATAATAATAGCAACGGAGGCAACCCCGTCAAGATTTAATGTAAAAAAAAATCGCCCCACTGGTTCACGTCGTATCGAGTTCAAAATATTTTTCTATTATTTACTGCGAGAGCATTACGCTTACACTACAATACAATATGCATCCACGAACTTTCAATGACCTCATGAACAATATTATGTTATACCAATTACCATTCCATATAAGTGCAAGTATAATATAGAATTTATTATAAATTTTCCTCCGTAATATACCTAAATGTATATGAATCGTATACTGGTGGATAATAGTTTCCATCAGGTGGTCCACGTGTATATTTTAAAGAATTTATATTTATATTCA